TATATATATATATATACACACACACACATATATACACACTCATTAGCATAATAGGCCACACCCAACTGCAGAAACTAATTAGCATATTAGACCACTCCCCTGACAGCACAGAAAGAAAGAGAGAATCTATATTCCACATACTTCAAGCCAAGGTCTGTAACTTTAAACAAAAAACAACCATGTAAATACCTGATTTAGATTCTTTTCATTGAATCCAGAAAATAGCAAAAGAGCTTGTTTGCAGAGATAGTCAATTGGATGGTGGCCACACAGTCTGGCAACAAATGCTCTCAGGCTCTTATTCATTATGCAGAATTCTTTCCTCCCAAACATAAGCTGTAAGATTAATTTCTTTATACATTCTTCTTGCTAATTTATATCAGAATAAATTTATATAAGTTGTCGAAGGCTTTCATGGCCGGAGTTCATTAGTTGCTGTAGATTTTCCGGGCTGCATGGCCATGGTCTTGGCACTGTAGGACCTGACATAGCATCTGTTGTATTTTTCAGCAAAAGACAAAAGAGACCCCCTCTCTTCTGCAGTAGTATATTGCATACCATCCAGTTGTGGACAGGTTTACATCTGGACCACACAGCATAGCATTCAGACAAGAATAAAAGAACATGAAAGACACTGCAGACCAGGCCAATCTGAAAAATCAGCAGTGGCTGAACATAGCCTAACTCAAACAGGACACAGTATCTTATTCCAAGCCACTGAAAGGCTGGACAACACATCCAATTACCATGTCAAATTACAAAGGGAAGCCATTGAAATTCATAAACATAAACACAACTTCAACAGGAAAGAAGAAGAGAGTTTAAAAATTAATAGGGCATTGTTTCCTGTCCTGAAAAACACAAAATGCTCTACATCTTACAATAGTACTACAGATAAGGTTAGAATTTCAACAGCCAATTCATATGCAAAAGAACCTCCTCAGGAAAGCTCCTCCATTAGCAAGTCACAGCCTAGGGAACTCCTACAAGATAATGACTCAGCCCTACCCCACCTTCCTGATTAGATATAAATTACCTGCCTACCATTTTTCTTCTCACCTTGACACAGAGAGTACTCCATCTTTCTGTGTTATACCTCTGATGATGCCAGTCACAGCTGCTGGCAAAATGTCAGGACCTACAATGCCAAGACCACAGCTATACAGCCCAGAAAATCTACAACTAATTTATGTAAGTATTTACTTCATTTACGTCTTTTAAAAAATATGTAGCACATCTTCAAATTTGCTTAAGGTGACTTCCCAGTAAAATACATAAAATTCCAACATACAGTCAAATAACAAAAAATTGGCTAATTAATAAGAATGGAGTTCCCGGCCTCCCAGCGAAGCCGGTGAGGTCCGGGGGCTTTTTTGCTGCCTTGGAGGAGCCGGGGCAGTAACATAATCATGACACATGGCATCATGACATGGGTGGGGTGGGTGGAGCCGGCTTGCCTAAACCGCCGGGCTCCACTCCCACCTGTCAGTTGCAGACTCGTGCTCGCTCAGCTGCCTGTAATCTTTGCTGCTCGCTTTGGGGGCTTTGCCTAGTGGCAGCAGCAAAGAGGTTGAGGGTCCTGGCGATCAGTCCAGCGGCCTGGGAGCAGTGCAGCGGGGTGAGTCGAGGAGGGCCCCAGGATTCTGCTTGGCGCATTGCGGCGATTGCGGTCCCCCGTGGTTTGCGGTGGTGGCTGTGTCCCTCTCAGTAAGGGGGGGGGCCCTGCCTGGTTGTAAAAAAAAAAGCAGGCAAACAAACAGAGGAATAGTGGTCTGGGGTATTTGATTGGGGGCTCAGGAAGGGACTTTGGGGGCTGGACCTGGCAGTAGGTGAGGCTGCTGGGTCTTAAGTGGGGCCTTTTCCCCCCTCACAGGCAAAAGGATTGGCAGGGAAATGGTCCCCCTAAACAGAGGGATATAGCCCAGTAGCAATTGTTAGTCTGCAGGGGCCCTATTAAGCATAGCATAGTGTATTAGGAGGCAGGCACTGGGTGGCAGTTGGTCTGGCCAGGAGAAGCAGTCAGCCTTCCCAAAGGCCTAGCATTCATATAAGTGGCCAGTGTGATCTTAGGTGCTTAGCGGCCCCCTAGTGGTTGTTGGGTAGAATGTCGCTTTGTGGTGCTGCCTTTTTTCCCTGTTAAGATTCTTGAGGCAGCCATTTTGAGTATGGCCCTACAGCGGTGGCCATCTTAGTGGGTCCTGGGGTTAGTGGCCATTTTGTGAGGTCCTTTTTGGGTGGCCATTTTAAAGTTAATTCTGTGTGGCCATTTTGAGTAGGCCTTGGTATTACATTTAGTCTTATTCTTTGCTGAGCGCCCACTTACTGAGTAGATGGCACCAAAGAAGGGGCAAGGCCCTTCTAAGGACAAGAAGCCAGGCCCTAAGAGGCCTCAGAAGCCCCCAAAGCGGCCCACTCTCTTGAACTCTTCTGACGAGGATGAGCAGGATCCTATCAATGCAGCAATCCTTGAGAGGCTGGCGGCATGTGAGAGGCGACAGGGTGAGCATCCTCCTTCATGCGATGTGGCTAAATCGCTGTCTAAACAATCTTTTCGGGTGCAGGTGCTGGTACACTTGGCTCTTATCGAGGACAGACATGGCGATGTGGCATCAACATCTGGGCAGCTGAATCAGAGGCAGCGCGCGGATGGCAGGCAGGAGAGCCAGGGCTCTGATCAGGGCTGTAGCTAAAGCCCTTCTAGTGGGGGCCCCCTGGGGAAAGGGGGGGAGAACTGTGTGTGTGTGTGCGCGCGCGCGTGCCACACACACATCGCCGAGAGTGGCGTAATGCATTGAAGGCCTTATTTGCATAGCCAGGAGGCCATTTTGTGAGGGTATTTTAAGGGCAGTCATCTTGGGTGGGCCTCTGTAGGGTGGCCTAGAGAGTACACTTCCAAGGAGGCCATTTTGAGGAGGGCTTTATACAGTGGCCATTTTGAAACACCTTGCAGGGCGGCCATTTTAATTGTCTACCAGAGCGCTTGCTACTGAGGCCTAAGTGTAGCCACACCTCAACTCCTTACCTTTTAAAGAATACTTTTAGGTGAGGAGGCAAAGGTTGCATAACGCTTCAGGAACAATAAGTACTAGCTTAAGGGCCATTTAATTAAAACAATGGCTCCTAAGAAAGGTCAGGGGCCTTCTAAGGGCAAGCAGCCGGCCCCTAAGAAGCCTTCTCAGAAGCCCGCACAGTGGCCTCCCCTTTTAAACTCTTCAAATGAGGATGAGCAGGACCCTATTAACGCAGCCATTCTGAAGAGGCTGGCAGCCCTAGAGAGTTGGCATGATGAGCATCCTCCTTCGCTTGATGTGTCTACAGCCTTTCCTAAACAATCTTTTCAGGCTCAGGTGTTGGCATGCTTAGCTCTTCTCGAGGACAGACAGGGCGAAGTGGCATCAACATCGGGTCAGCTGGTCCAGTAGCAGCATGTGGATGACAATCAGGAGACCCAGGGCGCAGAGGAGCACCAGGTGGAGCTTTATAAAGGACCTCCAAGGAGTGAAGGTAAGGCGGAGAACACCGGCCAAGGTGGGACGTATTGGCCTTGGGGCCCTTGTGCTCAAGATGCCACTGGGTATTCTACACATACCGCACAAGGTAGTTTTGGGCACACAATACCAGGCAGATGGTCACCCTATGCAGGATGGGGAGATATGGCAAAGCCTCCTCCTCAAGGTGTTTGACCTGGATGGGGCTACCCAACTTCAGGTGGTGGTTTTCCAAATCCTGGGGATTGCACATATGACACGGTCTCAGCAGGTACCATCCCATTTGGGGATCTGGCTTTGCCACTTGGAGATCACCTCTCTACTGCCACTAGGGACAAAATCCTTAAGAGAGAGTTTGTTGATGATTTTGCATTACTATACAGCGAATTGGAGAAGAAAGATAAGGAGGACCTAGATGAGCAGGAGAAGGAGCGCCTGAAGAGGCACCGGGTGGACAGGACCTGGGCAAACTGGTTCCCAGGATTCTTAATCTATGAAGCAGTAATAGTGAGGCACCAGCCATGGAGGGCTTCTGCAATGCTCCAATATATGGACATCATTTATAAGGGCTTTACCAATTTTCCCAGCCCTGCATGGCTTCAGTATGATGAAGAGTTCTGAATGAGGTCAGCCATGAATCCAACCTTGAGATGGGACCAGATTCATCTGCACTTATGGTGGCAAATCATGTCTCCCGATTGGTGATTTGGCAATGAGAGGTCAGATAGTGGCCACTCTGTTCACAGATCACGAGGTCAGGCAGGTACCCACACCCAGGCAGGGCAGGTGGTTCAGCGACACCCGCTTTGCTGGTAGTTTACCTCCCATGGGACGTGTAGCCGTAAGTCATGCTCCTTTAGGCATGAATGTCCTTTGTGCACGGGGCCCCATGCCCTCTCAGACTCCCCCAGGACAAAGGGTAAGTCTGGCAGTAGAGGAGGTAAGCGTTCTGGAGGAGGTGGCGGTTAAAAAAAACCCCTCCTGTCAAAGGGTCCAAGCCCGATTAAGGTGGAGGTGCTTGAGTGTTGGTTGTGGGATTACCCCAACCAAGAGGATGGCGTTTACCTTTTGGAAGGTTTCACTCTAGGGTTTAGGATACCTTACCAAGGGGAAAGGAGATTGTATAGTGCTCCTAACCTGAAATCAGTTAAGGGTATGGAGCTCATAGTTAGGGGGGAAATTGATAGGGAGTGTCGGGAAGGCATGGTACTTGGCCCGTTCCCTTCCCCACCAGTTACCAATTTGAGGGTTTCCCTATTGGGTGTTGTGCCAAAAAAGGCGCCTGGCGAGTATAGCCTCATCCACCACCTGTCCTATCCCCACGGGGAGTCGGTGAATGATGTGATACCAGGGGAGTTATGTTCAGTTAGGTACACCTTGTTTGACCAGGCTATGTGGGTAGTACGCCATTGTGGACAGGGGGCGGAATTGGCAAAGTGTGACATTGTCGGATTTCTGCCTTCTCCCTGTTCCGGGCTAGGTGGGTCAAGGACCTTACCTTCTTGGAATTCTTCCCGATTGTCGTAGCAGTGTGGATTTGGTCAGCAGAGCTTGCCGACCATACTGTCCACTTCTGGTGTGAAAATCTGTCCACAGTGCACGTGATTAACTCATTGACGTCCAGGTCTCCTAGGGTCATGGCCCTGGTCAAAGTCTTCATGCTCCGCTGTCTGCAGAACAATATTTTGTTCAGGGCCAGGCATGTCCCGGGGGTCAGTAACAAGGTCGCTGATGCTCTCTCCCAAAAACAGATGGAGAGATTCCACCAGTTGGCTCCAGATGCCGACCAGTTCCCGGTTCGTACGCCGGTGGAGGTGTGGCAGATTGGTGGATTGAGGCCGACAGGGTGATGAGTTTAGCACTTGCCCCTTCCACCCGAGAGCTTTAAGAGGGGTTCGGAATTGTACAGTTTGAGGTTATGTTTCAGTTATTAACAGGGTTCCTCTTACAGGTGCTGCTGGCGATGGGGCAAGACGACGAGTCACTGTCTGCAGCCACAGTATGGTCTTTTGGGCCGCTCACTGGGCCAGGAGGACACCCATCGGTTCTCAGCTGGGCCTAAGCGAGTGGGCTGTCATCGAATGGTTGGGAA